AATAACCTTATAATAATTTACATTGACTATTAAAATTAATATCAGTTAGTATAAAATGAGGTCATGCAGTCACAATTGACTGTAAAAGTGCATTGATTACAACTCAATAAAATATCTTTATTTTTTTTTACACCGTGAGAATGAAACCAATGAAGAGATGAATGGTTATTGTAATTCTGCATAGGTAATCGCTATGCCCTGCAAAGTTTATTGTTATGAAGTAAAAAAAAAACAACAACATCCGTGTGTTAAAAGTTGTTCTAAACCTGTTCTGCATCATGTATAACTCGTTTCCAGATTACAAGAAGTATGGTCACATGCGACAAATGTGAATGCATGTTTTGTGCAAGATATGTTTGAGCTTGTTCTGATTTACTGAAGGTCACACTGAAATTATGAAGCACAACATTGGAATGCATCCATGTTTGTAGTGTGGATTAAACTCATTGATTATATTACTTTAGAACCCTGTACTATATAAACATGTCACAGTTCTATAAAAGTCATTGTGGAGAAATCACCAAAAAAAAAAAAAAAAAAATCACAAACCAGTATTTCGCACAACAATTTAAATCATATTTTACCAAAAATTACAAAAATATTCATCAAAATTAGAGAATTAAAGATATCATCATGAAATGAACAAATCTGAGAGAGGTCCACATGTAGTACCTATATATGTAATATCAAAGCAATTGGACTTGCGGTTTTCAACAAGAAGTCGAAAATATCACTTTTTACCAAAAATTACAAAAATATTCACCAAAATTAGAGAATTGAAGATATCATTACAAAATAAACAAATCTGAGAGAGGTCCACATGTAGTACCTATATATGTAATATCAAAGCAATTGGACTTGCGGTTTTCAACAAGAAGTCGAAAATATCACTTTTTACCAAAAATGATAAAAATATTCACCAAAATTAGAGAATTAAAGATATCATTACAAAATGAACAAATCTGAGAGAGGTCCACATGTAGTACCTACATATGTAATATATTATCAAAGCAATTGGACTTGCGGTTTTCAGCTAGTAGTCAAAAATATCACTTTTTACCAAAAATTACAAAAATATTCACCAAAATTAGAGAATTAAAGATATATTCCGAGGTCCAAGTGCATTAGTACT